AGACATACAAATACACACAAAAAGAGACTGACACACCATTTGTTAACACTTTCAATCCAAAATCAACCAGTAAGATCTCAATTTATAGCCTATTTCTACATAATCAAGTAACCAATTCACATACTCACACACATTCTTCACTATTAATTCAATTTACTTTATCCTTAAGGTTTCTATAGGAATCCATAAACACCTAGAGATTCATGATTCCAAGCAATTATGTAAAATTATTATGACTACTTATCAATTACTATAATTAGAGCACATGAGAATGATATAGAACACAAAAGCACAAGTTACAATTAAAATTGGGATTTCTCCCTTTTACAACATACATGACAAAAACGAGATTAGGGACCAGTCTCTTTACCTTGTAGATATCTCACACCTTAAAGCGAAACTACTCACTTCCCTCTTACCTTGATGAATACTAGATGATGGGTGTGGAACGTCAAGATGTTCTCCAAAAGCCTCAGGTTCTCCAAGTTCTTTAAAGCATAGAGAATAAGCCTAAGAAATATTTGAAAGTGCAAAAAGGAAATTTGACACTAACCCCTCATGAAAACTCTCTAAGTCGCGTTTACTCATCAATTAATCAAATAAATCACGGTCATGCTTTTCTGTCCTCAAAATAATTAAATAAAACATATAATTAAAATAAAATAATTTAAAACCACACTTTTTCCAACTCAAGTAAAATAATTTTCACAACAATTTCTTTTCATTTAATTAAAAGCACTTGTATTTATATCAAATCTCTTATTAATTTATGTAGAAAAATTTGGAGTGTTCCAACTATGATGAAGACATTAGCCATTCAATATCAAACTTGAATGGAAACTATGATGTTGAGGACATTACTCATTTGTTACCGAACCTAGATAGAAGATGCAACATTACACACATTTTACTTTGTGCAAGTGGGTTTAATTCTAACATAATGGAGCTTCTACTAAGGTTTTATTTGACTTAAATAAAAAGACACCTTATGAGGAGGAGATTGAAAACCAAACATATAATCGAATTCCTAAAGCTTGACCATTGGAAATTGACCTCTTATAAAATTAAAAATTATTGAACATGAGGTATCAGGTGCTTATGATAGTAGTATCAAGTATGTATATTTCGTCTCAAAATAGAAAGTTATTGAACATAAAGTTAACTCTTACAATAATTTATTTTAACATATTATCCATTATGACTTACCTAATGGTTTAGTGAAATGTAGTTGTAAGAGGTACAAGTTCTCAAAAATTTTGTGCTTAAATGCCCTTAATGTCCAATTATCAAGAAATGCTATGAAGATTCTCGTCACATATACATTAAAGAAATGGACAAACCATGCTAAAATAAGAAATGACATAACAACTATAACCATTTTATAATCCAGGAGGACTCTAAGACAATAATCGGAATGTGCTATAAGGACATATGGAGGATGCAAGTTTAATTAGAAACTAAAGGTGCAGTAACAAAAGAAATATATAACTATTAATTATTTGACCAAGGTCGTGGATGATATGAATGCATGTCTTGAAGGTAGAACCAAGGAAGAGAGCATTAGTGATGGTTCACTTGTGAATGTCAAAAAGGGTTGGTGTTGTGGGATAACAATAATGTGAAAGGATAAAGACCAAAGAAAGATTTCGAGGAACACCTATTTGGGCAAAAAGGTGTTTTTGAGACAAAAAAGAAGAAGAAAACTACACAATAAGATGAACCTTTTTGGGAGAACTTAGATAATGAAGTGCATTCACCTTTGTCTTGTAAGGTATTCTCTTATTTATTTTACTTGGTTTTGTTTTAATGTTATTTTATAATCTATATGCATTTTATTTATATGCTAATTTATAATTATCATTAAAATTGTATTATTTAGTTTTCCAATATGTTGCCTACAATACATTAGAGGAGTCAATTGGCAATATAAGCATGACAAAGTTGTTATAGGTGATAAATTATATTACCTTTTATTTTTTGTTAGTCTACAGTTTTTTAAAATTATTTTTGTAAAATAGGGTATATGTATATGTACAAGCACAACTATCTAGCATCGGACATGGAACAATTGGTGTTACCAATTTCTCAAAGCAAATATGAATGTAATGACACGTTTTTTCATGTTATTATTAGAGGATTTTGATGAATACTACATGTTTTTGATTCAACAACTATAGTTTTTAAATTTGATTATATGTATTTTTCAAACTTGTATTGCAAATATACCACAACAATTTAGACATTTTTTTTGACCTTTTGTCATAGAAATAAAAAATATCATATTTATTAGATAATTTAATTATCATTAAACAACAAATTCATTTTATGTTATTGTTAATGAAAAATAACAAATATCACAATAGAATAACCTTTGATTTTTTTTATTATCAAAATTGTAAATACATCAATATAAATTTATTATCTGATAGTTGACTTTTACAATTGAAAAGTGATGTATAATCTTTAGAAATCAAAATATATTTTAGTATTCAATAAACATATAAATAGTTAAAATTCAAAATCCAACGCATCCTCGTGTATTTTTTTCCTGAACTTAACAAAATTTTGTTAATTTTTATTTTAACCTAAATTAAAATGACGTGACTATTTAATTGATGCGATACTTAATAATCAAAAGATAAAATTAGAGGGCAAATAATTTTTGTTCATATATTAGAGGTGTCAAAGTGATTTAAAAAATAATTGTGCTAATTTTGAGAGACTAATTGGACTATTATTTTTAGGCTTGAAATCTTTCAAGCTTATTTAGTTTGATATTTTTCTTTCTTTATAATATTAAAATTAAAATGAATGAGCCAATTTAATTCATCTTAATAGATCAAATCATGTCACAAAATAAACGATAAATAAGAAAATTAGATTAGGTCAAGCCAAACCACATAAAAGTTTTAAAACCAAGATCCAATCCTAAATGGTGAAGATTTAATCAAAGTATAAAAAAATGTTACTACAAGAATAAAAAAAAACTAAAAATATTTAATATAATAAAATTTAATTTAATGTACGATCATTGCAAAGCTTATTACATTGTCGTAATAAAAAATATTTTAGGTATTAATCAACTCATTATATAAAATCATTTATGATTGAATGAAAATTTATATCAATAAAATACATATATAACTAAATTAAAAAAATTTAATAATCTCATTTAATAATCATCAGGATAATTAGGTGAGAAATTTTAAAGATAATTGTTTAATCATTATCGAACTTACTATAATAATGGATTCAAAATCGAGTAGGTAGTTGAAGCATGGACATGGGTTCAAACTTCAAAGTTTTTGATTTGGCAGCCCCATTTTCAGAACCCACCCAAATATCAAAATTTCTTTTCGTTTCCTCTTCAAGAATACACCAATCCGCATCGCGTAACGCAATTCAATCTCCGCCCTTCATTATAGCAAGATCAACGGCCTTCCGTACTCCTCCCTGCCACGTCACCGATCCGCGCACTGTCACACCCTCAAACGAATCCCACCCATCGATTCCCCCAACAAATCAACGCTCAACATTCCCCCATTCATCTCTCTCACAGTTCCCGCACACACCCCAATTTCAAAATCCCACACTATATATAACCAACCCCTCCCTCCAACGCTTCAACTACTTCAAAGAAGCAAAAGCACTAAACTTCGATTTTCGTCACAAAGCCTCTTTTCTCAATGGCCCGCACAAAGCAAACCGCTCGTAAGTCCACCGGCGGCAAGGCGCCGAGGAAGCAGCTGGCGACGAAGGCCGCCAGAAAGTCCGCTCCGGCCACCGGCGGCGTGAAGAAGCCCCACCGATTCAGGCCCGGCACGGTGGCGCTCCGCGAGATCCGCAAGTACCAGAAGAGCACCGAGCTTCTCATCCGCAAGCTCCCGTTCCAGCGCCTTGTTCGGGAAATCGCGCAGGACTTCAAGACCGCCCTCCGATTCCAGAGCTCCGCCGTGTCGTCGCTCCAGGAGGCCGCCGCGGCCTACCTCGCTGGTCTCTTTGAGGACCCCACCCTCTGCGCCATTCACGCCAAGCGCGTCACCATCATGCCCAAGGACATTCAACTAGCTAGGCGCATCAGGGGCGAGCGTGCTTAAGCCTAACCCTAGCTTGTCTGTATAGATAATTTCAAGCGTTGGTTGTTGTTTAGCTGTTAATGCGGTTTTCTTTCAAGATTATGTAACGCTCTATTATGAATGAAATTATCGTCTTTCTGCTCCAATTGTTTCACTTTAGTGTGGTTTTGCTCTTTGATTTATTATTATTATTATTATTTTTTAAATCGTGTTATTGGGGTTTTGATTTTCTTGACTTTTACTATGATTAAGGCTTTTTCGGATTATTGTGAATTTGTGTATATTATTTTGATTTATAACAAAGAATCGAGTTGAGTTTGAATTTAGAATTTTATGTGTTATTATAATTTTCTAGGTTTAGTACTTAATGGATTAAGTGTAGTTTTACTTGTAACGATGGTTTGTTAGTGCGTAAACGTAATTGAATTGCAAAAGTTTTATTTTTTTAAAAGCGTTTTTAAGTGTTACATTCGAAAGCTTTGAAACCTATAAATTGATGGGTTTCTTTAGGTCTGGCTTGATAAGTCAATGTCATAAATTGGGGTTCCATCAGGGTGTAATAAGCCCCAGTGTCTCTCTGTTCCTGGCCCTGGCTTTTGATTTTCATCGAACAGTGAGAAGATGAAGGTTGGTATTGCGATCCCTGGTCTAGCTGGGGTTCCAATGGGTGGTTTTGTTGTCATTCTGTGGATTAGGTTTTGGTTGTATGTGGCGGCGTTGAATGTGTTTGCTCCAGGTTCTTCTCTGTCGCCAGAGTTGGGCCATCCTGTTTCGGATATTACGAGGTTGATGTTGGGGTACCCGAGTTTAGACATTGCGAAGATGAGGGAGTCAAGCATTTGGTCTAACAAGTTGGTGTAGACTAAGCCACTGGCAGGATCTCTGATGCTTGAATTTCCCCTGAATAGGGCAAAGTCGAGGCTGATGTTGTAGGGGTTCTGTGACCACGGGAAATAGGGGTATGCGTCGATGAAGAAAAACGACTTGGTTCTGTCTAGGAAATTCAGCATTGGTGCCATCACGGTGTCTCTTATGTCTGATCTGAATGTGCCGCTTGATGGTGGGAACGTTGATTGCATCACATCCATCGCTAATGGGGTACCGATTTTGATGTCTCTGATGTTCTGAGCCTTGAGGGATCTTTCAATGCTTTGCATTGCTGGGACAAGGTCATGCCACATTTTGTGGCCTTGTTCTGAATTGTAGCTCAGAACTTCGTTTCCCACAAGAAGGTAGCGGATCATGGTTTTGGGGTAGTAGGGGAGGACGTTGTTCTTCACCCATTCGTCAGCCATGGTTTGGTTTGCTGCAATGCTTGAGATTTCGTGGTTTGGGACCATGATAGAAGCTTTGAGGTTGGTGGTTGATAAAATCTTTAAAATCTCGGGGTTGGCATCGTAGAGCTTCACGCGGCTAACTTTCATTGTTGTTAGTAACTCAATGGACCGATGTGGAGAGGGTAGATTGTTCCCAAGTTGGCCATAGTTCACACCAATATTAGTTGATGCTTTTGCTCCTGTTGAATCATGAAAATTGGTGTTATGTCGTTTACAAAATAAGATTCTGTTGCAGAGAATTAATGTGTTATTTCAGACTTACTTGATAGCGAAAGTAAATAGACCAGAAATATAGCCAGATGACTCATTTCTCTTTATGCTAGCGGACCAGTTGTCTCCCAAGGTTGCAATGGGTTAGGAATAGTACGAGGTAAAGAGAACAATAGTGGTATCAATTTATAGAAATGAAATGAAGACTAGTTGCAACAAATCAAACACCTGTTCACAAGGATCTTTATGGGTGCACCCAAGAGTGACTTATATTTTACTGTTCACGGGAAGAAGCTAAATATGAATGGAATTATGGTGTTAAACACAAACGATTTAATTAGTGGTAAAAGGCAAGGGTGTGTTTTCTTTGCTTTGTGCTTTGGCCTGTTTTCCCAAAGTATTTTATTATAAGAAACGCAGTTACATTAGTCACAAACTTTAGAAGGGGAAAGAAGTCAGTAATGTATGAAAATCAGGGTATTGAAATGGTGTCACGTTTCTCTTGTGAAAAGGGAGAAACCGTATAGCAATAATTTGAGAGTAGCTTACATTATGGCTATTGTTCCAATGAAATTCAACTCTCAAATAGCTCCCTCTTTATGAATTTATTGTCTCGTTTGATTCTATTGTTCTAGGCAATTGAATGAAAAAATTAAGCAGAAAATTGTTGACATAAAAATACTTTTCATGTTGGTCCCATCTGTGTCTTGGAGAAATTATTCTAGGTGTAATAGGCAACATCATCAGTATGATTCTACTCCTAGGTATATGGTACTGTACGATATCCTATATAAAAAGACAGTGATTTAAAAAATTAACGTATAAATTATTGATATAAACTTTTAATATTTCGAAATTGCGGAATCCGATCTCTTATGTTGTGGACCTTAAATGTTTTTAAGAAAACCAACAATAATGCGAATAGAATGACAGAGACTCAGGGTCATGCATAACAAATAATTCAATCAATTAAACAAAAACACTCTCCATCTTTAAGATATTAGCCTATTAGGGTTTTGATACACTTTCGTTACTAATACCTTCTTGCCACGAGTATTTGTACTAATAATAGAAGGAAACGTGTCAGTATTATAGAGTGTCTTTTTTCTTACTAGTTGGTTATTAAGGTCAGCTTAAAATATAATATAAAATAAAAAATACGTGTAAGTATAAATTTGCGAGCCTCATTATTACAAGAAAAATATAATTAAATGTTATATTTTACATTTACACGAAAACCCACAATAATTTTCAATTGTTTTCTACTTTCCTAATGAATGATAGTCTACTTTGCAATAAGAAGATATGACAGGCGAAATTATGTGAATGTACTAGGCTTACCACAAATTTGTCGAGATAATATAATAAAAGGATAAGAGAGCAAACAATAAGATTTGAGTACGTCATTACAATATTTCGTTTTGAGAAAAAAAAATGAAAGTTTCATCAAAATATTGAGACAAATTGGGGGTGACACGTGTATGTGTGAGAGCCCAAGCATGTGTTGAGACTATGCCTAATTGTGTATCAACAACACCTTATTGAGATAATGATTATTAGTACAAAAAAGTAATATCCATGGCAACACACTGGTGTATATTTGAGATCGGTCGTAGGGACGATCTGCTGGGCAAGATTGGTGAGCCTCCTTTGCCGGGTACGCGTGTTGCTCCAAGATGGGGGTGATACCTGCAAAAGAGACTCCGATGCTAAAGTTAGTGTTTGTGGGTGTATGAGTCTCGTATAAGTAATGCACGTACCTTTGTGTGAATTAGGGTTTCGTTGGGCCTTGGGTTTGAGATCAGTTTATGACCTATTTGGATGTCGGGCTGACGTGGCCTAGTGCGTGTCCGAGGTCACTCCGCGCTGAGATGCCGAGCTCGAACTCGGCATATCGGTACGGATAGTACACTAGCCCCCCGAGCTCCGAAGACCGTGGGTCAAGGAGTTAATGCCGAGCTCGGTAGGGGGTCGCAACCCTTCGTGTACGCTTCTCTGCTGTGCTGCCATGTGTCACAACTATCGCTTCGCGTTCCGAAACGCGTGGGCAGCGCATAAATGGGAATGACGGTTACGTAATGATGGTATTGCTCGTCATAATGGGCTTCATTTAATGTGTCGTCAGTGTTGTTGTCTCCTGGTTGACACGTGTCATGGCCGTTTGAATTTCTCAAATTCCTTTTCTCTCTCTCGCGCCCTCTCCCCTTTCACTTTACTCATTTCCCTCTGTCTTGCTCTCGACGCCTTCTCATTTTTCTCTGCTCATTCTCCGTCTTTTCTTTCCTTGTCTCCGTTCTCCTCCGTCGCCTTCTCCAGCAATCGAGTTCTCATCCTTCATTCTTGTTCTTTCGTTTGTCAAAGGGGTACCAGGTACTTCGATTTCTCAATCTTCTCCTTCTTCCCAAATCTTTTCATCTTCTTCCAAAATCTTTTGTCCTTCTTGATGACAGTGATGCCGCTCCTTCTGCGCTTGCCAAGGGTAAAGGCAAGGCGCGCTTGCTGATCTATTTTTATTCCATGTGGTAGGCAATGGACTTAGCAAACCAATCTCAAATTTACTCATTATCATAGATCTTTTATTTCAAAATAGAGTTACAAAATGTATTACACTCTTATATATCAAGTATTTATTAATATTTATTATTATTATATTTATTTATTTATTATATCATATTATGTATTATATTTATATATTTTTTCTTCTCTTATTTCCTCACTCTAAATGACGTATAGCACTCGAGTGTTTAGATTATTTTTCTTCCAAATAAAACTGCAGGGTCTAATATGAGATAATATTGTTTAATATCTATGACCAATCACACTCTATATATTGAAGAGGTAGGTGGTAGAATTTCTCACTTACTCACTTAAGTAGGTGGTTAGCTTAGCACAATTTGTGCGGGTACTGTGAAACATAGACCTATTAATTTAAATTAATGCACTTCTTTTATGTCTCATCAAATCAAATGATTTAGGGTATGGATCAATAAGTTCCTCAATAAATAATTTTAAAAGAAAAAAATAGGAAAGAAAATTAAACTATTTTTTTATATAAAGTGTTCTTACCAGAGATCGGTCGTAGGGACGATCTGCTGGGCAAGATTGGTGAGCCTCCTTTGCCGGGTACGCGTGTTGCTCCAAGATGGGGGTGATACCTGCAAAAGAGACTCCGATGCTAAAGTTAGTGTTTGTGGGTGTATGAGTCTCGTATAAGTAATGCACGTACCTTTGTGTGAATTAGGGTTTCGTTGGGCCTTGGGTTTGAGATCAGTTTATGACCTATTTGGATGTCGGGCTGACGTGGCCTAGTGCGTGTCCGAGCTATCACCAATAAACCGAGTGCAAGTTCCAGCAACATGGCGCCTTTTGTGTTTGTTTGATCCTCGGTGTTGTGTTGGAACTAGGAAGAGAAATCCCGGGTTAGAGGCTAATTAACCAGATGTTTTTTGGCCTGTCGAAACTGGTTTGCGACTCTTCCTTTTATAATCAAATGATTGACACTATAACCCCAATTATTGTCTTCATTCTGGTGGGCCTACGAGGTTTTTTATTTTCAAAATAAATTTTTCTTAATGTCTTACAGTCGAAAATGTCAGCGGACTCATTCAAAGTTTTTTTTTATATTTTTTTTTAAAGTAAATAAATATATTACAGTAGTTTTTGTCGTTTACTGAATTTCTATGTTTTTGTTTTTGTTTTTTTTAATGTTTTCTATATTTTACTCAATAATAACATGTAAACATAGACAAAAACAAGTGCTTTTTTAAATTGAAAATAAATTAAAACGCCGCTGGTTTTGAAATTCCATCTGATTCACCTACTGCGCTTGTGGTCTAAGATGTTGTGCCGTGCATTTTGGTGGGTCTCAAGTTGGAATGAGACTGATAATCCAATGAGAGCTGCTACGCATTTTGCTTTTAAGAAATTTAAACAGCCATCGTAACAGTGTAATGGGTAAAATCTTAAAATGCATGCACTTGAAAATAAAGAAATAATATCCACCAATCTCAACTCAAAGATGCTGATAAGTAATGCACGTACCTTTGTGTGAATTAGGGTTTCGTTGGGCCTTGGGTTTGAGATCAGTTTATGACCTATTTGGATGTCGGGCTGACGTGGCCTAGTGCGTGTCCGAGGTCACTCCGCGCTGAGATGCCGAGCTCGAACTCGGCATATCGGTACGGATAGTACACTAGCCCCCCGAGCTCCGAAGACCGTGGGTCAAGGAGTTAATGCCGAGCTCGGTAGGGGGTCGCAACCCTTCGTGTACGCTTCTCTGCTGTGCTGCCATGTGTCACAACTATCGCTTCGCGTTCAGAAACGCGTGGGCAGCGCATAAATGGGAATGACGGTTACGTAATGATGGTATTGCTCGTCATAATGGGCTTCATTTAATGTGTCGTCAGTGTTGTTGTCTCCTGGTTGACACGTGTCATGGCCGTTTGAATTTCTCAAATTCCTTTTCTCTCTCTCGCGCCCTCTCCCCTTTCACTTTACTCATTTCCCTCTGTCTTGCTCTCGACGCCTTCTCATTTTTCTCTGCTCATTCTCCGTCTTTTCTTTCCTTGTCTCCGTTCTCCTCCGTCGCCTTCTCCAGCAATCGAGTTCTCATCCTTCATTCTTGTTCTTTCGTTTGTCAAAGGGGTACCAGGTACTTCGATTTCTCAATCTTCTCCTTCTTCCCAAATCTTTTCATCTTCTTCCAAAATCTTTTGTCCTTCTTGATGACAGTGATGCCGCTCCTTCTGCGCTTGCCAAGGGTAAAGGCAAGGCGCGCGACAAGGCGGTGGCCGCCGAGACG